GAAACCATTTTCTATTCTGTTAAACAATAGATTTATTTATTAGTTCTTAGCTGATTTTCATACAGAACACGTGTGCGATAGAACCACTTGCGTTTTTGTGAAATTAAATTTACCATCGACGATTCGTGGTTGCATTTGCACGTACTGATATAATACTYGTATTATATACGATGTAATCTATTAGTTATCACAAACATTAKACTACAATTACACTGCTTGCAAACACTATAATCTATAATATGTATGTATAATATACATTATATCAATAGGATAGTCCCCAATGGGTTATGGCAGTTTTGTGTTATTAGTTAACGAGAAAACTGCGGAAAACACAGTGAACTATCCTCTTTATAATATATAATGTTACAATAATTATACTATCCTTCCGGTGGAACTTATTCTTCGGTGTTTATGAACATTCGGATAATAATAATATATAATATTAACAAATCGCACTGGCGCMCAAATTATACTATACACATTATATAATAATATACTATATTATTAAATTTTATAAATTTATAAAATTATCGTATATCGACTCATCCCAACCATAATGGCGATATAATGTATATATTAAAATATATTCTAGAGGAACAGCCGGACGTTATTATTATGATATAACAGTAAATAGTAATATTACCGTCTCCCGCAACGGTTTTGGTGGATATATTATTTATATTAAATAGTAGAGAAATGGTTGCAGTTTGCACACGAACATCACGCGTATTTTATACGCAAATATTAATATTTTGACTAGTTAATAATAAGTATAATAATGCATATTAATAATGCGCATAAAATAGTCATATATAATAATATAATGTACAGTGGCGAARTGTTGTACCAGCAGTTATGTATGATAAATTTACGCGTGTTTATACATATATGATATATCCGGGTGTGAGGTGGTGAGCGGCTTAGGTATATACATATTTATATTATACAATCATACATATATAATATATGTGTACCTATGGCATACATGTATAAAATAATACAGGCATTTCCGTTCAGTTCTTGTTTTATTCACGGCCCAAGTCACTCGATTTTTTATTCATAGTTTACATCAACGAGCGCCACTATTATACAGCTCTGCAGCAGTTGCCCAGTACCATTACTAGCCATTATTCGCCGCCGCCGAGTGAAACCACACGCCATTATTTATTTGTTTTATTTATATTAATTGTAAAGTCGGTACACGCCAAGACAAACATTACGCACTATAGTGCATAAACGAATAAATAGTTAGGTATTACTACTTAGATTAAATTACAAAATATAGTACGATATTCGTATGTTACGGAAATRTAAACTAAAATATAGTTTGATGATAGATCCAGAGCACATCAATAAAAAAAACATTTGACAAAAGTATGGAAAAGTATTGAAGCTCTACAGTCATCATGTCGATAAATACGTGATGAGCAGGTGAAATAGCAGAAGAGTAATACATCTCCGGATCTGTAACTATAGATAATATCACTTGTTGTTGTTGAGATCCAGTAAGGAATTAATATAAATTGAGAATAGGTAAATGCGATATGGTRTATTGATATTGTGTACCTACCTACTTGATTGGTATTTAGAGTTATARATGTTATAAATATTTGGGACCCCTTAAATGAGTTGAGTACTAGTTAAGTATAGTTAGGTATACATASAAGYTTCCATAGTATTATGTTATGTAATAGAAACTTACGRACACTATTACACTAACTAATGTTCCATATTATATTGATACTATACATATTTGCTTGCATAAACTCACCAAGTGGCTGATCACTGCTCTTCCATATGTAACTATACACCGTGCCTGGATCAGTTCGTCGCCATTCACCTCGCCAACCTCGTCGTGAAATGGCGCTGTTGTTGTTGTTGTTGTTGTTGTTGTTGTTGTTGTTGTTGTTGTTAATATTGTTGTTGTTATTGTTGTTGCCGATGTTCGAGTCCAGAGGCGATCCAGCTTGAGGTTGAATTGGTTGTCCCGTTTGTGGTCTACAATTGCCATCTGCGAATATAGGTAAGATTTTATAATATTTGAATTGGAATATTAAGAAATAAAAATAATTAAACGCACATTTATGTWGGTATGTGCAATTATTATAAAACTYATTAACCATTCCTATTTAACTCTGTAAATGTTGTTTAATCTGAGGTGCGATTTTCCTCCACAAACTATTCACATAAAATTTTTATTATTTACCATGTACCAAATTTACTCATTGTTTTAGTCAACAAATTATAAATATCTTGATAAATAAACAACTATTGTTTTAATTGTAAATTACATGTAAATTGAAAAATGTTAAATTTTGGCTTATTAGGAATATTACTCGTAATGAAATATGCAGTTCACTAATTTAACCGAATACTATGTCTCTTGAATTTCACTTCAACCAATTTCAGTTTAGATCATACCGAGCATCCTTTACTTACTATGCATTGCAGTATCAAACGTGTATCTATAGATAGGTATGTATATAMTATTGACCTTAACAATTACAGAAARGTACRCACATCGGAAAWTTAATGTAGGTACGCATTTTAAAATAAATAAATATATGTATATATATTTTCTATACTTGGGCTACGTTCTAAAATATTTAATTAACAGCTAATAGTCTATATATTAAAATATTAATTATAATACACTATGTTATTAGGATTAAAATAACATTATGTTTCAGGCATGTGAAATGATTATTTTAAATGTACGAGTAATAGAGTAAGCTTTAATATGATGAATTATATTATTACAATGCTAGATCTTCTGACTGGTGGTGATTAATTACAACCATGTTCATAATTACACATCAAAAACACTAATAATTGTATTAAAACGTATAAATATTGAAAGCTATAGCTTCCGTATGGTACAAGTCACATAACAAGTTAATACAACCATAATAAATGC